TAACACACTGTTGGATCATCCCAGGGACCCCAGGGATGAGAACTGACACTCACAGGTCCCAGTGAGCATACTCCCATGTCTCAGTGCCAGTTGGTCCCTTTTCTTCTGTCTCTGCTTGAAAACAGGGTAACACAGTGCCTTACAGACATCTCCTACCAAAGCAAGGCTTACATAGGAAACAGTGGAAGAGTATTTGCTCTGAAAAGTCAATTCTTTTATATGCGGAAGTACAACTCTATCCATACAATTTTTATTTATCAACACTAACACAGAAATCAAGATCCAGTGGAAAGGCTAACTTGAGTGACAGCAGGCACTCAGAAGAAAACCCTGGACTTCAGAGATAGAAATGTGGTTTGTAACTCTCCCACATGGGCTTTTTTCACTGATATACCTAGTCTTTCAGTTGGAATAAACAGAATAAAAAAACACAAGTAAACTTGCAGGCTATAGGCAACAGCAGTTTTAGATACCTTAAGGTCAAAGGAGACCGACCACCAAAAACATGACAGTGACAGTAATTAAGTTATCCAAAATGCACACAATTGTTGTGTCTTCTACAACCACAACAATCAGCTGTTAATATTCTGTTTAACATGTCCAGTTGGTTAGAACCACTAAGAATTTGCAAATGTTTGGTTTGTTTAGTTCTGTTAGGTAGGAGGAAATGACCTAATTTTTCTGATATAAATTTCACAGGCCAGTTACTCTAAAGTACATTTGTATGAATGAAAACCACTTACCCAGAGGGACACTCGAAAAGGCATTTCAGACAAAAGAAGCCCTAGTGTCAAATATTTTAGTCATTATAACATAGAACAGCTGCATGTTCTCAGTGAGGTAGTGTCTGGAGCAAGAAAGCAAATTTGAAAATGTGTATGTCAATGAACTTCAATTTTTTTGCAATTGTGATGTATACAGTTGTGTAGAAATAAATTATAGCACTGATAAGCACAGCTGTAATGTCTGTTAGAATAATACACTTCTGAATAGTTTAAAATCCAATGTCTTCATCTAAGGCCCCTATGTCTTGCATGTATCTGGCATAGTTTTTCTCTCAGAGGAAGGATTCGCTACTGAAACACAGTATTTACTTTTCAGTTTGTTAGGACAGTGGAAAAAAGAATTTCCCCCTGAAAATACTCTTCTGCACAGATTTTCCAGCAGATGTACCAGTGCCCCACTTAATAACAGGGCAACTCTTGTTGTACATCTATAAAAGCTGCAATGTATCATGCTTCCAACACCACTGAAGTTAGGAGAGCAACACCATTTAGGTTCCCACTGGAATAGCAAAAGTCTGCAATTCACATTTTTCTAAACACATCTTTTTCATACCTTTGCTGACAGACAGGCACCTGTCTCTGCTGATGCAGTGGAGTGCAAAAAACCCATTCAGTCATACACTCCAGCATCTTTCAACGTGCATTCGAAGTAGTTTACACAGAAGAACATTACAGGAAAGTCAGTAGCCATTGCACAGCCCTACTTTGAATGTGTCAGGTTACCACCACAAGTATGGTCAGAATTCCAACACAGAGAACAACTATCTGCAAATACCTCAACACACATGAAGATCACTGAGAAAATATGATCAGTAGCTGGTTACACGTAACACAGCCTCACCAACTAGTGGAAAAACAGACTGTTAAACAGAGTTTAAAAAGAGTGTCATTGTCTTAAAGTAACAGTACACACCCATGATTATCACCATCTCCAAATTTATGAGCACAGCACTGGAAAGAACCAACCATGCATCAAACCACTCCCCCGAATTTTAAAGCAACAACATGATAGGTTTTACCAACACTTTCCACAGAGCATCTTCTCTACCAAAACAAAGGCAATCCATAGGTTTATCAGATTTGTTCAAAATTCAACAGTACACTTAAGGACTTTAACAATAAGGATCAGTACACTTAAGGACTTTAACAATAAGGATCAGTGTGGACATCGCACAGGAAGAGCTTCAAGAACCATGCCAACATAGAAAACCTTTCAATAACATTAAATGTGCTTGCAGTACAGTATCCTCAAAGCTACTGGAGACCCTGTCCAACACTAATGGAGTGAAGCCTGGAGGCAGGATGAAATCCTATTTGCAACATGACTTTCAAAGTGCTTCCACATGTTCTGTAATGTCTAGAAAAGGATAAATCTGCGCTAGCACTCTACAAATATCCCAGCTCTCGGCAAAATATAAATGCCCAAAGGCAAGAAGTTAAAACACAAACCAACTTAAGAGAGTGACATATATCTTGGTCTTTTTCTTTTACAAGAGAAACTGAGAGCAAATTTTCCCTAACACTTGCACAAGTCTCCTCTCTCTCGAGGAAAAAAATAAAAAAAAAAGAAGAGAATATTAGTCTTACCTAAATAAAATAGCAGCATTAGGAGAAACATGCACAGCCACTACTACATTAGTTTCGTGTACTTTACTTTCAAACAGAAAACCTTACAGACAGCTGCAGAATATTTATTAACAATTCTCAGGTCTTCACTGAGCACAGGTAAAATTTTCATAATCCCTGCAAAAGCCACACTCTGGTCTTGCCACTCAGTTACACTTTGAGCTCCAAAGACTTACAGATGATGATTTTTAGGGAGTGGGCAAAGCAGTTCATAATGAATAAGGACAGACTTACACCACCCCGAAACTATTAAACTGTGGTTGAGCAGCTACATTACAGGCAACAGACCACTCTAGAATTCCCACTGAGGAACTTGAAGAAAATTAAGGCATTTTCACCATCTTTCAGATTTGAATGCACTCCTATTCATTAACCATTTCCCCCAAAATATCTCAGTTTATCCTGCTTCATTGAGGAGCATCAGGAAGAAAAGTCACCCCATCAGACACTTAAGGACACAGGAGACGGCATACTTTTCCTGGAATGTATGAATTTAAAAAAAATACCCAAGAACAGCGTAACAGGATACTCTTCTTCAATAGGACAAAGTTCTATTCTTTCTGTGAGCAAAATATAGTGCCACCCACTAAACCGATGACTCTACATGTGGTTTATCTCGTTCACTCACAATGGCATACTTCCTGCCTGTATCTATTAAACACCAGTTAACACCCACTTTGCCTCTCAAGCCTAATAAAAATTTCCACTTTGTCCATATCAAGGCACAGTATTTTGGATGATAAATTCTAATCAAATAAGGTATAATGCCTCTTAATATCAAATTGTTCTGAATTTAAGTTTTCATGTAATTGCAAATTCTTTAAATATTAACAGTTTACCATTTTGACCAAACCAAGAAACGTATGTAGAGATGTGTTCAGCTTAGAGTATTTTTTCCAAAGAACAAATTAAATTAATTCAGTGAATTCCAACTAAAAGTGGACTAATAAGTGTAAATAAGTCCCATTATGATGACAGGATGCAAAGATTCATCCATTTCTATGCCTTTTCAGCACAGAATAGCTCAAAACCTTTTTTTGACTTTGGGTACATGTGCCCAGAATAGATGAATGCTTTATTTAATACAGGAAGCATTTGTCATTAGAAGTGCAAGTCCTGACTGAGAGTTTTAAAAAAAGTCAGTCTTTAAACAGTAAGCAGCAGTTCACACTCTTTGTGTTCAGTAAAGGATTGAAAAAGTTTGAATAAAACTTAATGCCTAGAAATTGAGCACGTTGCTTTTCACCCTGTATAATGCCTAAATTATGAAAAAATAACCATCCTCAAACTTACAACTCTTTTCTCTCCTAGACTGTGTTAAACCTTAATCTAAGTTTGAGCTTCCACAGAGCAGTTACTTTCAAAGCTTTGGCAAAACACCATCTCTGTTTAGCATTAAATTACAGTTCCTTCCTTTTAGCAGAAAAATAACACAAGACAAAGACAAATCAGCAAGCAATCACAATATACGAGAAATGTTGTACACACTTGAGTATATGTAAAAGCAACTACAATAGAGCATAACCTAATGTGAAAGTTACTTCAAACTTTACTATATATCTGCACAAATCCACAGCTTCACAAAAATATGAAACAGTCGGTTTCAAGAGTTCCACCTAGCAACATCACATGTTTAACTATCAGACAGAATTACTTTAAGCATAATAAAGCTAAAAATTAATAAAAGGTCCTTAGGCATCAGAACCATAGACTGTGTTTCTTGTACATACATATTTAATCCATTAGCTTTCCCCAAGTGTCATCTGTTTCCAATTTATTGTAGATCTAGTATTAGCGTACCTTTAGGAAAAAGCTTTTGATTACAAGGGGAGTATATGCAACAGGACACCTTAAATTTTATACTCATTTCTATTATGGTATTTCTTAAGTATTAATAGTAAATATTATTCTAAAATATTAAAATACAGTTTCTGAAAAAGGGGGGGAAGCAGAATTGGACAAAGAAAAGAAAATACCTATTTATAATACTCTCATAATCTGGAAGAAGTTATCAGAATTCTAAAAGGTAATTTCAGTTTCACGTGTATTAACAGTCTGTAAAATAAATACACACAAAATTGTAGCACAGAAGGCATTCTCAGAAGTTAGCAAGTCCTTCTAACCTCATGCACTGGTCAAAACTCCAGGTGTTACTTGACAATGTTTCCACTTCTCAAGAGGAAGGACTGCTTTCCAATCACAACTCACCACTTACCTTACAAGTCAAACCGTAATTGCAACTACACTTTCAACTTAGAGAACTGAGTACCCTTCCATGCAGTTCAAGAGGTCTATCATTTCTGCTCTTCCAGAAAAATGAAGACAAATATTGTATTATTCCTCTGCCTAGCTACCTGATTTATTTCAACTAGATAATGATGTAGGATATCTCACACTGATTTTCCGAGGCACTTGTTACACGAGTCACCGGGTTTTAATAAAAAAGCCATATCCTTTGCAATGAGAGCTGACTGTAAAACAGGAGTGTAACGAAGCATGCTGCTGGTTATGCTTGCCAAAAAAAACCCAAATTATAATTCACGGCAAGAGTACCTCATGGATACCCGAAAGAAAGGCAGAAACTCTTACCTTGACAGGAAAACTACACTTGCCAGTACGAACGCCTTCTTCATCAGTCTGCCACTGATGGGGCCTGCTGGCCTCTGGGACATAGACATCTTTCTTTCTCCTAAAGCTTTGCCGTAATTTGTTCATTTCTCAGATTTTCACGTCCTAGAAGAAGAAAAAAAAGAATACTGCCAATAGGTACCAAACACACATTTATTTAGCCACTTCGGGTCAATCACTATCATGACAAATGTCCCTGTGAAAAATCTGAGCTTTTGCAAAGATGAACAGAAGTACCTGTGAAAGGAGAATATTTTGAACAAGGATTCAGAGAAAAGTCAGGTATTCACTTCAAAGCAGAAAAAACAAATCCACATTATTTATGTAACTTTCCACAGCAACTGAAACATTAGACCAAGAAATAACTATTACTGGGAGCATAAGGTTACCTAAAATAGACGAAGGAGAGGCTCTAAAGAGTGATGAGCATGAAAACCTGTCTCCCCAAATTTGAACACCTACCTAAAGCAACCAAGCAGGACAACAGTAGCACAAGCTTACAGGGCACTCATGCAAGGCAAGGATTCATAGCTCTAAAACTGCTCCTAAATTAGGTGCTTCTGCTGTTCTTTAAGTATGAGAGATAGTTTCATGCTTTTACTGAGTGGAACAGCCCAGCCCTTGCTTAGTCTACTGGTAGAAGTTCTTACATTCAAATGAGAAATGAATTTCTTCAAAAGGGGAAAACAGTTCTGTAATCACACTTCCAAAGCCTAGAATTCGAAGCTTTTTATATGCTATTCTCTTATGTATCAATGTCTATATACAAGTCAGTCTGTACTTCAGACATGCTCATCCTTATTGGATTCAAACTACAATTAGCCAAGACACTATTGGAGAAATTACTACTAATAAAAAGACTCAATATTCAGTGTAAGGGCAGGGATAGGAAGTTGCTCAAGGATTCTCAATCAAAATTATCTAATTATAAAGAAGTGTTAACTTCATTCCTTCATAGTTGCAAAATGCCTGACATTACTAGTAACCTAAAATATTTTCTTGAATTTACTTAGGCAGATTCAGAGATTAGAACATATGTGCAAAATAAAAACCATGCACATTTCTTACCACTGAACAAGCTGAAGCAGCAGCTCTCTCCTGCTTTCAGCTGGGACAGAGTTAATTTTCTTCCTAGTAGCTGGTATAGTGCTGTGTTTTGGATTTAGGCTGAGAATAATGTTGATAACACACTGATGTTTTAGTTGTTGCTAAAGAGTGTTTATACTGAATCAAGGTCTTTTCTGCTTCTCACCCCACCCTACCATTGAATGGGCTGCAGGGCACAAAAAGTTGTGAGGGGACACAGCTGGGACAGCTGATTCCAGCTGACCACAGAGATATTCCATACCATATGGCATCATGCTCAACATGTAAAAGTTGGGGGAAGAAAGAAGGAAGCGGGGACGTTTGGAGCAATGGTGTTTGTCCATTACATGTGATGGAGCCCTGCTTTCCTGGGGATTGCTGAACACCTGGTCTGCCCATGGGAAGCAGTGAATGAATTCTTTTTTCTCTTTGCTTGCCTTTTTTTTTTAGCTTTTGTTTTACCTATTAAACTGCCTTTATCTCAACTTTTCTCACTTTTGCTCTTCTGATTCTCTCCCCCATCCCATCATGGCAAATGAGCAAACACTTGTGTGAGGCTTAGTCGCCATCTGGGGCTAAACCACAACACTCCTCTATAAACACGGTTTCTTTATTTTACAAGCCAAGAACCATTTTAAAATCTTTGAACTTGCAAAGCCAATTCTCTAAGTTTTAAGAGGAGTTGCAAAGATTTATTCTCCATTAAGGCTTAGAGAGGCATTATAGCAATATAGTTATGTATTTTGCTCTACAAACTGCAGATGGAGGAGTCTAGGCACCACTCAGTCTAAAGGAAACAGAACACATTATACACGTCCTGCAGCTCACAAGGACAGACACACACTCTTGCCCCTGCTGCAGACTGGCAGTGCCACAGCATGATGAGCAAAACTGCTGCTCCAGCTGCTTCAGTGAAGAGCATAGGAGTGTGGCCAGTGCATGGCCTGCAGCCCAGCTGCCTGACCCTGCACTCGGAGAGTGAGAAATGGGCACGGATACTCCATTCTGCCAAAAGGGGTAACAGACCCTTAAACCAATACAGTCAGATGCAGTAAGACTAATGTACCAGTTTCAAATTTCAAGGTAACTCTGAGCCTAGAAAACTTCAGTGAACAATGAAACAGGAACTGAAAACAGCACACAGCCACTGCATCGCCTGTGAAAAACCACAGTCTAATTGTCTTATCATAACATTTGCTTATGTGAGCATTCTGTAGGACTTCTCCCTCCTGGGCATTGCTTTTGCCCATGAGACTGGTGCCTTATCAGTCATTTATTCTGACCAGGAACCTCAATCCACAGGGGAGGATGAGAATAGGAGTTTCTCAACTACACTTTCTATGAGAAGCTGAAGTGGCATTTTGCCCAAAGTATTTCCCTTTCAATGAAAAACAAACCCATTTTCCTTCATGTTCTAATTCTGAGGTCACACTGGCAACAAGCAATTGAAAAATAGCTTATTCTATTTGATAGAAAAGCTGACAAATAGCAAAATTAATTTCTGGTCAGGCAATCAGTGACCTCTCTCCAATGCCCACACTTGAGTTTTCTGAAATGCAAAGACTTATGAGTAGGCTGCAAAGCAGTCTGTCCTACAAGCACCTAATTTGCTGATAACATGCATGTCTGCCCCATATTACTAGAACTGTCATCTGATGGGAAAGTGTTAAGTAGAACAATTCACACAGGTTGAGTATTTGAGGATTTAGAAGAGAAGCACATGACTTGCTATAATTTAGGAGCTGAAATTTTTACTAATTTTGTCTGGAGCTCAAAACCCCTGCGCTCTAAAGAAAGATGAGTGACAGTTTTCTACTTGAATTCTTTGCATTTCCATACAAGCATAGCATGCTTGCTAACACAACAGACACCAGCCTAGGCTGCAACAAGCTATCAGGCTATTTTCTACTAAACAGACAGCATCACTGATACTGTACAAAGTTCTATACTGTTTTGGGATTATGTAAAATGAAAGTTATCTGTCTCTGACATTTTTATATTTAGCAACTCAGTTCTGTCCTCTAATTAAAAGTATTTTAAAATCACCCAAGAAGAAACAAATCAAACCACCAAAACTACTATTTCCTTTTCACTTTTACAAATTCAGCGTGGACCCAGAGAGTGAGACGACAATGGAAAAACAGTATTTGAAGATAAACCTGGTGAGAAGCCAAGACAGGGAACTCAAAATTTAATTAAATCACAAAACATAACATTACATCAGAGACAAACTGCTAATAAAGACTGAAAGCACTGAGATCTTCTGGAGAAAAGAGGAAACAGAGCCACTTTGGGTCCTGGTACATTTCAAGGTTATCTCTAACAGGCAGCTTACTGCAGAACGGCTCAATATTTGAATGGTCACGTCCACTGGAGAAAAAAAAAACAAAACAAAACCAAACCATCTACACAACATGAAGACCTTCATCACTTTTGCAATCCAAGAGATTGCAATCCAAGAGATTACAATATGAGACTGAACCTTTAGTTCCCAAAGCACCATACAAGCACCTACAAAAGGCATTAAAAAGACAAGTGAATTTTAAAATTTCTGTTGCCATTTATTTTTATGCAAATTGTTATATTTTGGAAACAGAACTCCTAAGCCAATTTAAGGAGAGCTTTAGCACTATTATTCTTTTGACCAGCAGAAAAGCTACCATTTACACCTGTATCAGTCCACTGACAGCTCAGGGGCAGGGTTGTCAGAAACAGAGACAGAAACAACATTGCCACGGATAAAAATGCATGTTGAAGCACCCTTGGCTTCATTGGCTTATGCATCGTCAGGTTATGGCTGCAGAACAAATGACTGCAAGATAAACCAGCATGTTAATTCATGTCTTGCTAGCTGCTCTGCTGTGCAAGTGTGTTCACTTTTACCCTTCAGTAAGCACAAGCCAACAATTTACCCTTCAATGAGAGATGGGTAAACTTTCATATTAACTGAAGTTAGATCAGGTGAAAGCTGCTGATGATGCAAATTTGGAGCTCAGCTTGCCTTGCAACAGTTTACCCATGTTTCCCCTTACCTTTAGGTAAGCCATTCATTTAGATTTTGCATGAATGTTTTTTGTATAGCAGTTGCAGCTACAAGGGGATCCAAGCTATAGAATCGGCAGGGCAGAAGGACAATATGAGTACCTGAATTGTATCCATAAATTTAAGTGCTTAGATTTTAAGCCAGGGCATACTACATATTTCACCCTAAGCAACCACTTACAGTTTCAACACCGAGGACAAAGAAACAGCACAAACCCATTTTTTAATCTTGCTTCTGAACTCTAGCCTTCACAAAGGTTATTTAATCTGCTTTCAATTATCTGTTATCTTTTCTGTTTGCAATGGAAAAGGACAAAAACTAGTATTTAGTCTTCAGCCAGTTTTTTAAAAAACATTCAAAGGGTTTGAGATTACTTTTGTTTTCTTTCAGAATTTAATACTGCTTCCTATTTACTTTACTAATTTAGAAAAAAGAAAGTCATGGGTCAAATAAGGGCAAAGTACCCTCTGCCTGCAACAAATACAGAGTACCTGGGGGCAGGAGGGAACACCCGCCTCCCCGTTCCCCCCTCCCCGGGGTTCCATCCTCCTCATTTATAGTACAAAGTCCTCTTGCAAGCCTGAACCACCAGCAGTAGTATTGACACTTGAATCAAATTCCTAGAAGTGTGCATTTCAAACAGCAGGGAAATATAGTTTTAAGAACAATATGTTATAGGGATCATTCTAAAATTTACAAACCTCCATCAGAAAACTAATTCAATTAACATGTTACTATCAGATTAAGTAATTAAAAAAAAAAAAACAACAAAGAAGCCTCATTCACACCTCTATTGCCTGCTGGACACACACAGGTGAAGTATAAGCAAATGCACAGCTATCAGCTCCCATGTGCTCTTCCCCAGTGAAATGCACCTAACATTGATGAAGGAACAAGCCAAAAAGAGCCTAAAACCTAGAGCAAGATCATCCACCTCTAATGTGGATTTTGCATAACAAATACCAGGCATTTTTCGACATCAAAGGTTTCTGAATCAAGATGCATTTTTCCTGCCAAAGCTACCTGATACTTCAGACCTAAGAAGACATGCAAATTATCTTAATTTCATTGAAAAAACGTGTTGCTCTAACCTCCTTACCAGGAAAACACTTCAGAAAACATTCCTCTGCATGGCTGTGAAGACCTGTATCCTTAGAAAACTCGGTGGCTCTGAGTTGTTGTGCAAGTACAACCTGGTCACACCTGCTCACAGGCTAATGGTTAACAGCTATCTTTTGAGCATTATCAAAATTTGAATCTTATTACAAAATCCATAAGGGTCTGCATCAGGAAATGCACACAGTCCACACTTCTGTATTCCAGAGGAGTATTCCACATTTCTTTTTCCTATAAAAGTCAGTTCCCTGCTGACACTTCAGCGTTATTGTAGGTCTTGGCTATAACCAGGACACTAGGACATCAGCAAGGAAATATGCTTGTTTCAGGTCATTTTCTTGGGATGATATTTGGGTTTGGCAGGCCTACCTGCAGTACAAGCACAAATAAGAAAGAAGCAGTTCAAAACATTTAGATCTATTTTGCTTTCTAATGTACAGTTTGAATCCCTAAATTTAAGAGGACAATGTAAGAACATTTCATTTACAACAAAGAGGCAGGCTAAGAAAGCAAGTCGATTGCTGCCAAGGTAAATAGTCTGTCCCTGTCTATTATGAAGCTGCCAGAATGGAGTTTTACTTTTCTGAAAAATCCTTTTTAAGCATTGCTGCTAAACAAACGGCCTCCCCTCCTCTCCCACTTACACAGTACAAAAACATGTAATGTCCGATCTCTCCAAGCCTACTGCAAAGGTTAGCCAAAACTTGCTGCAATTGCCCTGCAACAGCTTCTCTGCAATTATTCACCAGCACAAGAACACAGAGTACCCTTATCTTCTAAGGAAGAAAAGGTCACCTCACGTGTCAGATTTTGAATGCAGAACTTTGAGCCTTTTTGTAAGTTTAGATCCCATAAAATCTAATTAAATCCAGCACTGTCACACTGAAGCAAATGAAGGCATGTAACCATATGAGCATGCTCACTAAAACGTTAACAGTCCTGCTTTCACAATCCAGTATGACTAACCACATTATTCACCACATGGCTTTCCAACCCATTTACCCTTTCATTACCCAATTATGATCTAATAATACAACACTACAAGTAAGCATTCTAAGACATCAAAATATGCATAAAGATGAAGCATTTCTTCATTTGTTGAGTGAATAAATACATTTTGTTGTTGTTATCATTATTATTTAGAATTCAAATTAAGGGGATTTTCCTTTTGGAGATAAACAAAGTATTGGATACATAATTAAAAGGCTACTGAAACAAATATACCAGATGTAGAAAACTCACCTTCCAGCAGTGAAAGTAATATTTAGATCATTCTTTGAAAACACAACAGAAATTGAAACCTCAAAATATTTATATAAGACCAAAGAGGTCAGAGCTGTGACAATTATGTCTCTGACAGCATTTTTAGAAATCGTGATGCATTGTCATCATAAGCTGTGAGGTACTAACCATCCTCTCAAACCCATCACATATCTTGCTGTCTCATTGCTGAGCAAAGGTATCATGAGAGCACACCACAGCTGTTTCCAGAGCACTTTAACAAGTCTATTTGTACCATGGATGAGGGTGGAAGGAGAGGAAAAAACAATGTTATGACAGCAACATCTTACTGGCAAAAGCCAGAGTTAAACAAAAATTGCAGACAGCTTATGAAATACCAGGAAATGAAATAATGAGCTGTACTGCAATACACTGTTAACAACTCTGGGGCTAAAACATTCAGCTACTAGAGGCCCTATCCTCTAGGATTTCGTAAAATAAGCTAGACTTTTCAAACATAAATAGCCCCAGATTGCATCAATTAAATACAGTACTCAGTATTCCACAATGTTATGTAACAGAAATACCACCACAGCAAACACTCAGACTCTTAAACTCTCACAAAAATACAAGTTTGATCATTGCAAGGCAGAAGTTATTCCTAAAGATATGCAATGCTGGTTCCAGCAGTTGTAAGAGAAATAATTTGCCTCTCACAAACCTGTGAAGTTCAGCAAACGAAAGCAAGCAAGACTCATTATCTCCATCAATAACTATTCTAAAGCAAATGTACCAATTCATCGGACACCACAGCAACTACAAGCTCTGACTACGTCCTATAGAATATGCTAAGAGGTTTAAGTGCAGATATATAAGGCAGTAATCCTCTTGTTTTGTAGGTTCACCCTAAAAATACCTGCAGACTGTCAGTCACCAGTGTAAAGCAGGTCTCCTAAACACTTTATGTGATACAAAGCTAATTGAACTATATTATCTATAATAACTGAAAATAAGTAAATGTTTAGCAAAGAAACACTAGCCATGCCTTGTGGAAAGATGTTCAAGTCATTTTGCTTTGTAGCTCATCTGCACACATGTGAAGAATTTTAACTAATCAAGGCACATCATTTCCAAGTGAATCATTTACATTAAGGGCAGATACATATCAGACAACTCAATGGTTTTCAAACACGAACATCTCAGTTTAAAAGGTATCCTTGCAAATACATGCTGAATTTTGAAATGAAATTAGATATTGAAGAAAGTACAAAAAGGGCTGAAAGAGCAGAAAAATATGTCCCTTGATCGACCAAAGCCAATACCTGAGAGGCGCAGAAAGGTAACAAGGATAGCAAGGGCTATATCAACACCTTCTGTTCAAGGACAGATTAGATACATCAAAAGTCTTCGCCTCAGAAAAGTAATTTGCTAGTGGGGAAAGACAGAAAAACTATAGTATCACACATGTTAGAAAATTAAATTACGATTTTCCAATTCTTATGTTGTAGAAACAACAAAAAACAATAGAATTCTCCAGCAGCCCAGGTTTCAATAAAAAGATATTTCCTCATGATACAGAACTAACTTGTACAATTTCTAGCTCTGGGAAATTTTACAAACTAAAAATAAAAAGGGATTAAAAAACACACACACAGAGTTTAATTATTTGATCAAAACTTCCGAAGGCCATAGTGGAGGTGCAGCCTTCCATTCAGGAAATCACCCAGTCCAATCTGACCAGCTGTGAAGTCTTACTTCATGTCTGCCTTAACCTTCTATTCTTCCTTGGGATCCAACACCGTATCAAGAGAATTACCGTGCTATGGAGCCTTTGTTGTGAACCAGTACAACTCACAAGCTGGTTTCTCTTCACAGCCAATTCAGCTGCCCAAACCCCCATGTCGCAGCTGTCACAGCACCACAGCAGAGTTGTTAGCTCACAGCTACGTCTGGACCACCAAGAGCTGGCTCACTACAGGTGGCAAGGATCTCCCTTTCCCAAACCCACAGAAGGAGAAGTTTCTGTAGCTCAAGACATTCAAATGAAATGAATTCGTATATTCCAGATAGCTCACAAAATGTGAATTACTGTGGCAACAACCCATGGGTGCACTAGTCAATCTCAACTACAAAATGAAAGTTAGCCTGAACTGCCACAAAGTTTGTCATTCACAGAATGATGGGTGACTCCTTGTTATACCACTACTGCAGTGGGCCCAAGCACTTCAGTCAGTCACTGCCTGGCAGCTGTTACATGGCAGTCCAAGACACTTCAATCGCTCCCATCCTCCAACAGTTAGATAAATATAATTAAGGTCCTTTTATCTGTGCATTTTCCTCAGCTTGTTCACGCTAAATCAACCACACTTTTGACTGCAGCCAATGCAGAGAAGGAGGGTGTCACAAAAGGCATTTTAATATTAATTTATAACTCAAAGTGAAATTCTGAAGGCTTTGCAACATGCTTTTGTGGGAAATGGCAGGTTTTGTTCATAAAAATGAGCCTAGAGGAAAGATGCAGCAACTTTTTCTGGCTGTCAGAATATCAGAAAATCATTTGATCATCCCTTATTAAGCCTAACAACACAAAAAGTTCACATAAACATGGGCAGAATCTTCTTACAGGACCCACTCTTGTGTCCACCATAGCAACTATGGTTGACTTGTAAGAACATAAATTTTTCTTCACACAAATCTTATTTATTATATTAGGAATTAAAATTAACATTTGTACACCTGTCCAAGTGCAAGTTTTGAGTTTTCCATAACTCTTTTCTCATAATAACTCTTTACAAAATATTACAAGGAACCAGCATGATTATTTCCCAAATCCCTTTTACACAAACATAATCAAATCAGAAGCTAGCTTAACAAAGCCAGACAGATACAAGCTATAAATTCTTTTAAGCACACAGGATGCAATGTTTTCTGAATTCCCTCACCAGTTAAATACCTTAAAAAATATTTTGCACCCTCTCTAGGGTGCTAATACAAGCCACATGTTTCATCACCCACAGAAGAATTCACACAACATCTAAGGAATCTGTTACCATAGTCCCTATGAGAGGTCTCTAAATAGGGTATTCTAACACAATTCCAGCTTTCTGGTACAATTTTGTATAGAGACAACTAGCACTCCTTATGATTAAACATAAGTAAAACCTCATTTCATGCCTAATGGTTCCTGTGTCTGCTTATTGAAAAGCCTTAAGATCCAAGCACAACTTCCGTGGCACACTTAGTGATTTTGAAAATTACATATAGCAACATAACTGAAGAAATATGTTTTATAAGCATTTACCTTAATAAAATCCTGATCTGTGTAATTTTGTGCAAAAAGAATCCCAAACCCAAGTATGGTAGAATCAGTTATCAGAACATGAAGTTCATACAACAATAGCAAGAATACAATGACTTGGTGACTTACGTTTTGGTTTTTTCCCCCTCAGGTTCTGCAATAATAGTTTTCTTAAAAATCCCTCTCTCAAAATCCTTCTCGCTTGAAACTATAACCTTGATTCCATGGTTATAAAAAATATGAAGCTATGGGCTGAAAAAAAAAGAGAGATGATAAGGTCAAGTCCAATAGGGGCTATAAAAGGTTTCATCTGAGAACTTATGTCCTTTTCTCCCTGTACCTAAAAAGACAATGGATTTTTAGATTATTTCAAGTGTTTCTTTTAAAGAACAATGCCACAATCTGGAATTATTACACCATTATACTGATTTGCAACAACTCCAGTCAAGGCTGGATTTTCCTCAGTCGAACTGGGGAGGATTTGGGTGGTAGATTTTACTGGTCAAAAAAAATTAAGGGATAAAAAGACAAATCAATCATACTGCATTTAAGGTTTTCGATTTTTTGGAAGAACTCCAAGTCACATTTTTAACACTAGCTGTTATAAACAGATGCATACTTCCCTCCCCACTCCCTCTTCCTATCACTTGGCATTTAAAGCCTTTTGCTTGTGAGGATAGTAATCCTCACAAAGTTGGTCTTTATGGAGACAGGAGATAGGAATTTAACTGCTATTGCTACTTAAACTCACAGGCACTGTTTTTTTAAACACTGAGAGTAATCTCTGAGACATTTCCTTTCACAGAAATTACCAGATTTCACGATGATCACTAAAATTAGTAACACGTTATTGATAATCAGCAATAATGTATTATGAATCCACAATTACATGCTCGGTGAGAATTATCACATAAAGCTTGAGACATCTATAAATCCAGGGGTCCCTCTCCAAACTGGTTATTTATACTCCCATTAAACTCAGTGAAGAGAAAACACAGCTCAGTTATACAAACCCACTTTAAGTATACCTAACAATGAAAATATATTTTTCTAACTAAATAACTCTGTAGGTATCCAAAGAGATAGTTTCTACCCTTTTCACCTAAAATCAATTTGTAATTAATCATTACAAAATTCCTTAATGATAATGAAGATTTTTTTAATCAAAATATTAATCAAAATATGGAAGCAATATGTTCAATTCTCTAACAATCTAGTCAACATATTTGGTTTTCTGAGACCACAGTGAGATCTTAATTTCAGCCTATAAGCAATATTTAAACCAGTTAGTCCAATATAACATTCCAGGGTGGGGTAAAATCTCATTTCACTACCTGAGACAGACTGCTCTAAACTTGTAGAACTGCTTTACCTACCAAATACACTACAAGCACTCACATCAGCATTTTATCCCCTAGTCAAAATTAAATCTATGGTAGTTCAGAACACAAGCCACTCTTTGGCTTAGGGTATAATGGATTCAGTCTTACTCTACCACTTTCCTCGTGATAAAATATTGGGATCTTAATTCAACTTTTTTCTGTTAGCTTTCTCTTACCCATGAATTTCAATTGTTAGCATACAGGTTTTATTATCTCTTTCAAGATCAGCACAGACCTTCTGCTACAAAAAACCAAACATGCATTAAAAGCCAGAATGAGCCTTTGAATGTGTGTTTTCTTCACAAGTTGTATCACGTCCCAAAATCAACATTAAGAAAAGGCCAGAATGTGCATTCCACTGAAATTGTCTGCAGAATCTAGAAATTAAGACCAAAAGTGTTCTTAGTGCAATAAGACACAGAACACCTATTACTGAGATGAAATTTATCCAACTGCACTTTAATAGTTGACCAATGCAAAAGACAAGGTTTAGACGTGCATCTCAAAATGTTAGTGTTGCCTTTCAGGGTCCCAGTTTATCTATACAAAGAGCTAAAACTTTCACCTATTTCCATGAATACCAAAATCCCAAAAATACTCACATTCACAAAACTCCTGTTTCACCGTTGCTATGAACAGTTCTGCCACCTAACTGATTCTAAATTACTTCATTTATTTTAGCCCTGATCTGTAAATAAATGGTACATTTAAGAAAAACAGCAAAAGAGCATGAAAAAGTGCCTTTTATTACAAAAGCGATATCTGCTGAATTAACTCAGAAATATCTCAAGCCACCAGTAAAGCACATTTCATCAGCTAGGACCGCTAAGAGCTACAGAAATATTGCATATTGTCTGCAATTGAGCACCTATTAACTTTATTTAGAATAAGGGGGCAGCTGAGACATGGAGAAAAAGACAAAGATATTCATTATTCGAACAAACTGAGCATTTGGCTTTTTTGTCACAGCTGTTCAAACTCAGGAATAAAGTCCAATATTAATATCACTCTGAACTACAGATATAAGTCGTTTTCTTATTGGTATAGAAATGACCTTTCTCACTCCTGTCTTGATCTTAAGCAAAGTAGGATGCTGTGTATCACACATGGGATAATGCTTCCATCTCCTTCAGAAAGTTAAACATATCCCACAGCTACATAGCCAGTCATGTTCTCCCAGAGGGAGATCAGGCTGCCCAGGAGTCAGTACAGGAGTACAGGCAGGGCTGCCAAAAACAGTGGCAATTCAGCAGCTCCAGTGCTGCCAGCAGTCCTCACGAACACACCAGTCTGACTGAATGACCTCAGCTAGGCTGGATCTGTGAAATCCACAGATGTCTCTCACCTTTCTAAATGAAATGTTGTCGACTACAGTAAAGCAGCTACAATGATGTACTGCAACACATACAGTTCGGTGGCAGAGAGTTCCAAAAAGTGCACTGCCCATAAGTAACACATGCTGGAAAACCACACAGCTGCAATAGCCTCTTGAATCATAGACTAGCTGTCATCTTTCCAACTTTAAATTGCTTGGCAAAAGACCAAGAAAAGTCAAACAGGAAATAAGAAGGAAAAATTGTTTTCATTCTCATGTCCATCAGAGCAATCAATGAAGCTTCAAGCTCAGCACAGACAGAAATATCACCCAAGGACCCTGAAATCTTGCACCCATTGGCAGCCTTTCTACATCTACAGCAAAGCACACTGCTACCAGTCACTCCTCAAAAACCAGACACAGCACAGAGCAAGTGGCAGACCAAAGTAACCAAGGCATCACTCAAACGAGTTTCCTCTGGATAATATATTCAGATTCTACCACGGCCATATTGTGTGTTGCTTGCCGATGGAGGGTCACAGTGGCAAGCAACAAATTTCACTCCTGTTATGGATGAGCTTGACATAGAAGCAATATGAGCTCTACAGCCCAGGCAAGTAGGAAATTGTGCCGCTGCTGCTGCCCAGGTTGACAGATGAAATAATGTGCCTTGTGTAGCCGTCTTGGTACAGAGAACATCACCTTACCTCCACAAAAGACAGCTGCCTCCTGGGGTGGCAACAGAGCTTGGCAGCAGAAGACAGGATGAAGAGGAAGGCAGACTAAAAACACCTGCAATGTAACAGCTGGCACCCAGCAGCAGGGCAGGCATGACAGGGACTCAGTGAAAAGGACGGTCCAGAAAACTTTTAAAAAGTAAATCCTTACACAATGTGTAGTTTTCCCTTACACAATAGGCAGCATATACAACATTGACAATGTGGATAACACCATTTAGAATGTCAAAAATTATATAGGAGACAACACCACCTTTCTTCACAGCGAATCAATTATACATTCCTTAATTACAATTCCTCTATGTACATTAACCTTCACCTTATTTACTACATTCACAGAAACAGAACTTATAAGGAAGGCAAAAAAATAGTGAGTTGGTGACACAGGTACTGTATTGAGGTAGAAAGTGAGCTTATTCCACTCTAGGAAAATCAGATTTCCGAAGGAATTGTCATAATTCCTTCTTGCTGGCAAATTCCACAAGAGTGGATCTTGACCACAACCCCTGCTTATGTCCCTTTGACATTACCAAAGTCATATGTTTCACTTGGCCAGAAAATATCGGTCCACATGGCAGAACTTAGGAAGTCCACTCAAACTGCACCACTTTTCCAGCAGCTTTAGCAATCTTCACTCCTGGTTAACTGATGGCAACTAGTGTCTTACAAAAATGTATCAACAAAGCACTACCAAACCAAAGGTTGCCTACATCAGAATGTGTTGGGTCTCCCTACTTACATTTTCTAGCACTTGCTGGGTGTTAAGTACCTCACATTACTTCTTAAAGGTCAGATTTAATTCCAAAGGCTGATCATCTACTAGGTACACTGCAATTATCTTTATTACAGAGCTGTTATTCTACTGCTTATGGTTTGTTGTCTATCTTCCCAGCTCAAACTTCACCTCCTGATATCACCTACACAGCACCTTACCTGCAGCTTTCTGGAGCTGCACACATCACACCAAACAAACTGCTAGCATGACATAAAGGCAGTGGTCTCCTCTGCTGGTATTATTTTTTGGAAAAGGAGAGTGTTCTCAGACAAGAACTACAGAACTCCTCATCTGCTAGAAGAGGTTTCTTTCGACATCCATAGCAGTTTAACCACTGTAGATAGAGATGCATTCATACAAACCCTTCCCTTCTGAATACAAGCATAAATACACAGCTTTGCCAAGAGTGAGACTTTAGAAGTTGGATTCCTACTCAGAAAGGGCGACATCACAGAACTTATATAAACCAGGAGGAGAAAAAGCCAAGTAGCTATTACATATGTTTCTCTGGCCAACTAAGACTCATGACAGTAAAATTAATCAAGTGTCTACAGGCATTTGAATCACATGCCTCAAAAAGTACTGTTGGAAGCCACAAACCACCCTTCCTCAAAGTTCACACTAAGCACATTTAAGAGTAACACCCAACTGATATTTTGCAGTGGTCAGGCAAAGTTGATAAACTCATAAATATCACCCAAAAAGATCAATTATCAATGCAATAGCATGTTCTTCAGTTATCATACTCAATCTTTTCAATAACTAAGGTTGCAAAAGTAATAACACAATCATTTCTAAGGGCAGCCTAATTTAATCACTCCTTTTTTATTAAGGAGAGATGAAGTATTTTAACAAATTTAGAATTCTTATATTCTTATTGTTCCCTCACAGTCTATAAGAAAATACTCTACGAAGAAAGGGGCCACATTCGCAAAAATCAGGTTCTCCTTTTCCACCTCTCTCTGTTGTGAAACCACTGGAAGTTCACCACCAGCATTGTTTATATAGAGATTATACAGAAACATTTTTATAAAGTACACAGT